ACATTAATTGAGTGAGGTGTGTGTGTAAGAGGCTGGACACACGAGCTGATGAGGCACTGATGAAAGCTCCAACACCGCATACTGATGAAATTAATATTCTTTTTGTCTTTCTGTCTCTCATTCTGCCTCCATCCCTCCCTCATTCTTTCCAAGGCAAATGAAACAGGATTAGCAGAAGAGAGAGGGAGAGATATGCCTGTGTCAGCTGCATGTGTATAATCCCCAGTCTTTATGTCCTGCCAAAATACACAGTTTTGCTTTACCAGTGACTAAAGTGAGGACGGAAACAGAGATGAACACTGAAGAGATACAGAGAGAGAGTTGTCTTGTGTGGTTTCACGGAGCTGTTCCAGCATGTGCACTTTTTGTCTCTGTCAGTGTGCATGGCTTCGTTCCATCATGGTGGCTACTCAATACATATTAGTGTGTCGACCCAGCCAATAGTCAGGTAGGACATAGATACAAAGACTGAACAAAGAGCTGTCTATTTAAACTACGCTATTATTAATAGTTATAGGTTAATATTTTGCTATTCTAAGTTGTACAGTTCTGTGCACAAAAACATAAAAACCTAAGGAAACACATTTTGCCAGATAAATCAAAGAATGCGTTGTATGTCCATACAACCATTCAAAAGTGAGTACACTTAGATGAAAATACTAGCATCCAAGAAAACAAAAAAGAGGCAGGGAAAATTGCATACATGTTGGGAGGGAAAACAATGCAGCTAGCAGAAAATAGAAGATTACCAAAAGCCATGAGTACACAGAGTAACTACATAATGCATTAATAGCAGCCACGACGTCAGTAGCCACAAAAAAATACTGAAAAAATGAATACATGCCTTCTGAACATACTAGGAACAAAGAGAGAATACTCAAGGGAAAATAAATTCAATACCTCAGCAACTTTTACATTGCACACGAGCTGCAAAGGCACTAGAACTGAATATGGCAAGACTTTTACAAATGGTGCTTCTTTATCAGTCAGTTGCTTCGCTACAGCCAATCACTTTTGCTTGGTTAATTTTGGAGACCAGCACTGCTTGGTCCTGCTACCAAAATATAATATCATGACGCATCACATTTGTAGCAGTGGACCTGATAACAGGCTGGCATGCCACAGTGATTTGAGAGCATGCCATAGTATATTACAGAGGGGAAAAAAAGGCATCAAGGAATTCACTTGTCCACCACCAAATCATTGAAAAAATGTTGAAGGAGTTAATTTGAAAAGTAAATATTTTAAGAAAGTCTGCTTTAGAGAGCAAACCTGTAGTCTTGACATTAAAGATAAAGTAGTATGTTTACTAGATAGAAGGACAGTGATATTGGCTCAAAATCCTATTCTGTCTCGTTCAAACCTGCCATGATCTTAACGCTCAGAACCCCAAGCAGATTCTGGGTGTTTTTCTGTTCCTGTCACATTTTTACTCACTGTGGATTCATTGTTTATAGCAATAAAAAAAAGTCCTGCATCTATATGTAAACATCACAGCTTGGAAATAAGTGGAATTTGAGAGAACTCAAAAATGTCCTGTGTGTATTATTACACAGTTATAATGCAAACAATCATAGAAAGAGAATAAAAGCAAAAGTTACATTTCTTGCTTTGCACAAAAAAAAAAAAAGCGTAAAAATTCAAAAGACATTCTCAAGTGCATACAGGTGGGAAATACTGGGAGGCAATACCGGGGAAAAAAAATTGTGGCTCCACATGCTGTAAGCTGTATGACTAGGCCTGTTTACATTTTTACAACCTCCATAAACTAGGAGTTATTCACACTACTCTGCAGATCAACTCTAAGAAAGATATTTCATTCTGAATGTATCTTCCAATAACTTGCTGACAACTTGCTCCTCTGTATAGCATTTTTGAGTCATGCTACATTTATTTCATTGATCAAGTATGTTGGAATTTCTTCCCAATCTCTCTTGTTGTCTCCTCTCTGCCCTGTGTAAACACAGCCTGCAGGTCACCCCAAAAGTCCCTGAATATTTGTCACAGAACTGTTACTGCAGCTGATTCACTCATGGCTTCGCGGTTGCGCTGAGGAAGATTTGTTTGTATTTTACAAGATCTGGTGTATATGGTTTACTTTTCATACTTTTTTGATGAGATACAGAATAACATGAGTTTGATAAATAAAAAAAAGTATGCTCAGATTTGTTGGGTTTTCCTTTTGGAACTCTATGTCACACATACTTTAAAGGATTGTAAGGAAAGTTATTCTTTAAAATTCTTTGTGTTTTTTCACAGTTTTTGACTTTGACAAATTGTGTAATTTTATGATATATTAATAAACAAACAAAAAAATGCCTTTAAAACTCAATGGCAGGTTTGGGGGGAAATGGTTAAAGGGTGTTTGAACAACACAACTTACTCTCACTGCCATCATGAGTATTTGGTGTATCTTTGGATAAATGAGATCCCCCTTTTAAAAATGCTTTCCATACAAATTTGGCTTAATAGGCCATTGCTTAATAAATGCAACCCATTGTTTGTGTTTCTGTGTATATGTGTATGAATCAGTGTGTGTGTGTGTGCGAGTCTGTGTGTGTGCATGCGGTCACAGCTGCTTGTCCCCTGTATTCTGTTCCCAATGTAGTATGCAGTGATGTGTGAGTTCAGCAGATCTGTGTCTTCATGTATGCTTGTTATCTAGTGTACCCACAAGCGCACACTGACAGAGTTTGAGAAGTGCAGGTTTTGTGTAGGTTTTTGTCTATCTGTCACAGCTGTCAGACAACAACAATGCACAGAGACAATACTCTGCTATGTTAAGTTTTGTATCATCATGCTATCATATCTATTGGTACAAAATGCATGCAGAGTATACTACTGTTTAACTTTAGGACATTAATCAGCTGCCTGCTTTTATTTATTTCTTTATAAATGGATGTGCAAAATAAGATGTTTACATTTGTCATCCAGGATTAAATTTAGTATTCATCACTTCTAAATTAATAGCTATATTCTGTGTAGATGTACAGCTGGATCTTTTTCCAGTTTGTGGATCCAAAACAGGTGCATTGGCCTAATTAAACTCTCTGCCATTGACCTGCTGCCTTGTCTTTCTGTTTTATCTTTGACTGAAGATTGCTGCTGCTGGTCTTGGGTTCACTGCTGCCTGAGGCCTGTACTCTTTTCTCTGTTGCAATGTGAGAGCCTGGTTGCGTTGTAGCTTGTGTTTTTGTGTGGGTAGGGTTGTGCGACACCATTTAAAATCAAACCACAAAAAATATTATACTTACTTTGAAAATGGTTAATTTAACAGTTAATCTTTTTAAAAAAATATTGTTTTGTACAATTGTATTTTTGATTAAAAATAGCCGAATTATTTACGAGGGACAATAAATCCTAGATTTATTTGAATTCTTTGGCTTCCTGGTACTGATCTTACCACGTAAAGTGCACTGAGATGACTCATGCTGTAAATTGGTGGTATATGACTAAAACTGAATTCAACTGTTGACCATGTGTTAAGGCGAAAAATAAAACTAGAGGATTTTTTGACACTTTAGCAAATCAATAAGTAAACAACTTTAATACTTCAGACTTTTTCCTTTTCGGACCAAGGTGCTTAGGAAATTAAATAGCTTCACCACATGGAGTAGCAAACAGTGTGCACGGACTGCTGTATCTAAAAAGTCCTTGGGTGAGATCTGCTAAATCCTGCTGCTGCCTTTTTGTTTGTTGAAGATGTTAAAATAAACTGGTTGCATTTTCTCGAAACAAAGCTCTGTTCAGCTCTGTACCATGTTAACTGAAGCCAAAGTGTGTTGACACAACTTAGACGGCTTCGTTTTCTGTGTCAGCTCTTCCTCGTCTTTACCTGTGTGTTTCTGTTTTGTCAACACTGGCCTGATATCCACTTTCTTTACTGTCCTTTATAGTTTAGCTGTATCGGGTAAATGTGCAGTATGCAATTTCTAGGTCATAAAGTAGCGTGGGATCACAGACATTGTCATCTAGTCATCCAGTGTCAGATGCCAAACTAATCATAATATAGGGAAGAAAAAAAACATGTGGCTAGCTAGCTTACCAACTCCCTCTTTTTCCCTCTGCACTTTCTGATCTATCATCTGGTACTATTTAATATAATACTATATGCTATTTGCATATACTATGTATTTACAGGAGCATGCCTCCCACATTTCTTTGTGTATGAGTGCTAATGTATTCACATGCACTTAAAATATATACATTTTTTCCCCATCAAAGCAATCCCGCTGCTGCTCACCTGCAGCTCCAGCATTTCTGCTCACCTTCAACTTCGCCTAAACACTGTCAGACTCCATACAATAGCGAGTCGTAATAGCGGAATAATGTGCCATAGATGTTCAAACCAGAAACTAATTCTGAAGAAGAATAATACAGAAAACCTCTTCCCACAAGTTGTCGGGATTGGTTTCTTTGGTTTGTTACGTACGAAGCCCTGGTTGCCTGAATTAAGAACAGCATCGGTAGCTTCAGGCCAAAAATGCTCATGCTGTGTCTTCTACTATATAAAAACATGGACATGCTAACAAGGTTAAACACTTGATTTTTACTGGAGGGGTCTTTAAGATAGTGAGAACACGATAACTGTAATTGTCAGTAAGATAAGCTTTGATTTGTTGTTGAATTTACAGGCAAGTTAAGGCAGCTTCACAGCATTAAGAGCACGCTGACTGCCTGAGTGAAAGAATTAATTTATCGAACACTCTAACATGAGTAAAACTGGGTCAGTTAAAAAAAAAAAAAATCTTCGATTAATTGCCCAGTCTTGATGTGTATGCATGCAAAACTGGTATGGGGTGCTCATGCAGAGAAAGAAGAAAAACGATGAGGTTGAATAACAAGATTCAGTCAGGGATGCAAGAAATACTAAAGTAAGAATGAGTGAAGCAGAGTGAGGATAGGAACTAAAAAGATATTATTGAAAGTATCGGTGAAAGACAGACAGAGAGACAGACACACAGATGAGACAGACTTGATGCACATGCGACAATGCTCACCTGAATGGGGATCATGCTGTGGAGCTTCAGTGCCCCCTTCTGGTGAAATTTGGCAAAGCAACCAATGCAGTAGTTCTCGGTACATTCAGCACACATCTACAAAACAGAACCACACAGTGCCGTCAGTGTGTGTGGGCGGGCGTGTGTGTAAGTGAGAATATATAAAAGAGACGGATGTAAAGATTTGGGTAGTTAAATGTGTTACGGAAGCAGAAATTGTTAAATACACAGAGAACAATATGTGCATGTACATTATGTGATTGTGCACATTCATTCAATGATCTGCACTGGCAAGCAGGCGAAACTTTTGTTAAGATTTAAACCTAAAGCTGGATATCTTGTCCTTTCCGCTAACCTCAACCTTGCCATGCAAACTTTGACAGGAGGGATGAATATTGAAATGGCTTCTCTGGCAGGAAGCTTCAAGGTGTGTAAGTGTGTCTATGAGATAGAGAGAGAGAGA